GGTGAATCTTTAAACACGATTCGCGTGGTTAAGTAAATTCATTAGCCGTTTTGATAAACGAACGTGGGCCTTTCATCGACGCGAAATTTCCGCAGATATTTCTATACTGCTAGTACAACTCTGTGCCAATACCCAACCGAATGTTAACTAAAGCAGAATACCAGTAATGATAATATTAGCTGCATCATCTTCGTAATTACATCCTCGCCACCTCCTTTATAATAAATACACATATACACACACATATAGATACATATTCATAGGGACGATACATTTACACACATTATACATATAGCTAGGTCAATCTTTTTAAGGTTTGCAAGTGTGAGTTATACAGGAAGTCAGAAGAATTCACATTGATGAAACGTCTAAACATTGCCAGTATCGTTCGAAACAATCTTTTTTGCCGAGAATAAGAAAAGATTATTTTTCCAATTGAAAGATAATGTGTTTCCGAAGCGTCGAACCAATTTCACTAAAATATTCGACGATGCTAAACTGCCAAATAAGATTTTATCCTCTATCGTTCTTTCTTTCCATATTAATGGTTTAAGTCGAAACTTGTACAAATGGAGAGTAACAATAAAACGAAGAAAAACGTTGCATCATTGCGGCTGCATTTATCTCAGTATCGATATCGTTAGAGGGAAGAAGATATATGTATGTACCTTTACGATGATATAATATATATACATATACATACATATATATATATATATATGTATATATATATATGTATATATATATATAGCGTCTAACTTATTTTAACACTTTTCCAGTTGATTAACGGGGTATTGCAAAGCAATTGTTAGATACAGTTAGGACACGCATACTCACGCGAAACAAATTTCTATGTTGCATTGTTTTTTTTCAGTGAAAATAGATCGGTAGGGTCTTCAAGCTATATATGCCGGTATACAAATAGCGAAACGAAAAAGTAAACAAACAAACAAATAAAGGATACGAAAAGTGATTCCAAGAGTATAAAGTGAGCTCTTTTTATAACTACGATTGTAAATAATAGACTGTGTCTGAAGCTTTCCAAATCATGGAGTAAGATCTTCTTTTAATAGTTGAGAAAGAGAACTTCGAATAGGAAAGATTTTAACGAACGAAATGCGAGTAACTGGTTTGAAATTTTCAAGTTGATTAAAGAAATTTTAGAAGATGTCCACGATTTGGAAAATATTACTGAGGTTACGAAGACAACAAAGTTAGCGATAAATAATGATAATCGATATAAATAACACAGCTTGGTTTGTTCCTTCTTCCTTTAGCTAAAAGCTTCATCGTACCTTTTCTTGTTCTTTTTCTTTTCTTTATTTTTTTTTTTTTTGGACACTTATGGTTGCTGGATATCATATTGGCATCGTTTATGTATCAGTGCTTAACCGGGAGCCTAGTAATCACAGCTTTTTTTGTGTCTATAATTATGAATCGATAACATATTTTAGAACGGCGATATTTATTGTTTACATAAAAATTACATGATCAAATTTAAATGATGGCTTCAATGCTTCCCTCTCAATAAATATATTATAATTATACTTATGAAGGACTATGCGAAAAATGATTGCGATTTACGCGAGAGATCCGGTGATTCGCGAAAATGTGCCGTGAAAGTGTTAATAATTATTATTCTCCGCATTATTAATTGGAATATTGTAATAATGCGAAAAGAGTACAAGTTTATAAGGAATCGTAAGACGATAATTGATAAGAGATATCTTAAATGAAGAATTTGATTTTTTAGTTTCATTAATCAAGAACGCGATCTTTGGCCTATTCTTCTTTTATATGCATAATATTAATTATTTTCGAAAATATGTATTAATTTATATCGTAAGGATCCTGGTGGAAGGTATATAAATATTTCGTACAACCAATTTACTTAACAATAATTCAAATGTAATCTTTTATTATTCTATTTAATTTTATCTTTTTTGTTTTTTTTTTTTTAATTTTTTTTTTTGCAAAAATACTTTATGCAGTTATGAGCAGAACGTTACGAATGAAAGGGAACACAAAAATATCGAGCGAATTTTCCGATTCTCTTGTATTTATAATATATTACGTCTTTAAAATAGTGTAATTAATTTTAAGCACGTATCTATCTTTTTAATTTTCATCTAATCATATTATTATTATTACCACTTTGTTAAAAGTTTTTATTTCCTTCTTCTTTATTTCTTTCTAATGTATAATAATCCTGTAAATAACGATGTAAATGTTATTATTCAATGAAAATTGCGTATCGATAGAATGAACCCTTGTAATTTTCGTAATGGATGGTTGGATTTACGAGTGACGTTGTTTTTTATTCATCAATAGCCTTTTCATCTATAACGGATGATTTACGCAGTGTTTTATGTTCGTAGATACATAGATTGACGCTTGTAAAATCCTATGCGGTAGCAACAAAATTAAATTATGCTTTTTATACGTTGAGCAAGCGGTAGTGTTAGCATATGCCAACGTTTCGAAGCAAGTGAGTGATTTGCCATGAGTTTTCTCCACGCGACATGGTCTTTAGCACGCTATTTCCACTGGCTACTTAGGATATTAAATACAGCCATATCGTATTTAGTGCAATCTTTAAAACGTAGGATCGGTTTGGCTGATTCTTTTTGCGTTGGTAATTTTGCCTAGAAGAACCTATCCAAATAAATAAGTGTATTGTATACGATATACATGCTGCAACCTCCGCAAACGTTTCTACTTAAGCAGAATGGTAAGGCTAGGCTAGATGTGCAATTTCGAGTATTCAATTTTTCATGACTCTGTCTTTCTATGGTATGGCCAAGATGTTACGAGAACAACACATGTGGAAAATGTTGAATCGATGTTCTTGTTTCTCATACGACGTCCAGGTTTTAGTTTCATACAGAAGTATGCTCAAACCGTATGTCTGATATAATTTATTAGTAAAATTTTTGTTGTCTTATATTCTTATACTGAGCTTCCCGACATGTACTTGTCGACTATGTCTTATCAATACGATTGTTGACGCATACATGTGTTCCTCAATTGTTCACAGTACTTTCTCCTAAGGGTCATATATCACTATTAGAAATATCTGCCCTTGAGAATTTGTTGGATACTCGCTAAGAAAATGCATAGATAAAAAACACATTGCCACCTTTGTCCGAGCCTGGGTATTTTTAGTCAAGTACCTAGTTTTCAATAATATGTCGAGACGGGGAACAAATAAATAGTGAAAGTAGACGCCTAGACGCGACGAGCCAAGGGTTGTCTGGCGTCTAGCCTTGAAATATCCATTTAATACTCTATAGTCTACACGATCACTAGAAGAAAGCGGCACACATGGAATGTTTAAACATTTCAATGAACTATCCTGACCCATCTCCGACCAATGAGTATCTACTCCTTCCCTTTCCATGCTTAGATCATACTTCAACTATGCCCTTTTTATTCCCTTTCCTAATTTCACTACAGTCTTCGCGGATAATTTTAAAGACGCCAACAAATCAGTCAAGTTACATCTTCAGACTCACGACAACTAAACTCTCGAGTTTTATTAAACATTACTGACTATCACTTCTTCAGAAATAGCCAGTACAACTAATTGCACGTCATTACACAAAACACATCAACAATTGTATCTTATTTCAACAAATATACAGTGATAGCTTCAATTCACGCAATATTTATTATTGCGCATCTACCTTGCGAGTTTCATAGGATCCTTTAAAAGAACGCGTGTTCTTCCATTAATTTGCGGGAACGCGGCGAGCGGTATTTTGCTGACGACCTTGAACGGTATCCTGGCCTAGTGTCACCGCCCTTATTCATCGCGGGGTAAATCCTCAGTGCAAATCGACTATCATCGCTGGTCCGGCGCGAGACGTATATCTGGAAATACTGTAGTTGCGAAAGTAGAAACTTAGTTGCGCTCTCACGACGTAACAACGATTATTGATTTCTATATCAAGTGAGAGATCGTTCAATATAGTCGAATCTAGATAACAAAACTTACTGAGCACTTCCAAAATTAGCACAGTTGTGTCATCTAATATTATAGCTTAATTTCCGCACATCCTTACGCCAATCGCTATTGTCAATCGCATTGATAGACATAGAGAAAAGAGTATATGCATAGGCCAATTTGTGCATTAGGCTCTGGAGCTTTCGAGTAAAAATTATATCCATTGTGGAATATTAGGTTCGGAAATCATACAAAACCTCAGAGTACACGTAATCGACAAGTTTTTGAAGTTTGTCAAAACTATTCGACTAAACAATTTGCTAATAATGCTAGATAACAATTACAGTTACTACGGTAGACTTTTTCTTTGTATGAAGTAACAATATTGGCATCGCGCATATCCTGAGGCACAAATTATCTCTCTTCCCAATTAGTTTTTAGTCAATAAATTGTGCAAAATGGATAGAATGCATTTAAGTTTATTTCAGTTATTCAATTTCAGTAAGTTAATTTTAAAACGTGTGCTTTTGCTGCCAGGACTTTTTCCACCATTAAGCCACTTTACAGTTTTTTTCTTTAGAGCGAATAAGATACCAAGCACGCTACAGGGTGTCACTTTAGAAATTTAATCTACAAATTTGAGAGTTTCTATGGATTTCGTGAACATTGAATATCTCGATAGATGCTATTAAATAAAATAAAATAAGACGTCATTTTTTCTTCGTCAAAATTTACTTTTAACAAATGAATAAATTGATTGATCTAATGTCTGAATAATATATCCTAACATAGTAACAAAGGATGTCATTCTAGGAAAAAAAAAGAGATGATTCAACAAGCTTTCGTACTTACGACTTTGAATTTATTTATTAAATTAATGTTGACACAGGTTATTGTGTATGTCGTATAGCGAGATTTGTGTGTACGGACAATAATACCTATATGTGTAATAATAGCATAGAATTAATGTTATCCATTTAAATACATGTGCGATAATCGCGAATAGCGAGACATGACGATGTCTTGCCTTACTCTCTCTTAATTTTTATCTTAATTACGCGATTAATAATAGCCACATCATTGATAGGATAAGAATAATAATAATGAATGCCATTTATTTTGCCTCAAATTTTCTTTACAAAGTTAATATTTTTATTCATGCATCTGCAATAAGCTGTTCTTATTTTGATTAAAATCTATTTGTCGTTATTTTTTATTTTATTATTTGCTTTCGTTCTCTTTTGCTTTGGCCTAATCAAAGTGTCCCGTATTTCTTTTATTATTTTTTTCGTTCACGAGAGGAAGCGGAAATTTTATTGGATTAAATATATATTATAAATATATATATTATATATATGTGTGTGTGTATGTCGAATTTACGACGGGTCGTTCGTTTATAATTAATAGCGATGTACTTATGAATATAGAGGCTTTTTAATAGTTTAATCCCCTCAGAGAAGATGTGTGTAGTACATCGTGCGACCCGTTGGAAACTCTTTCGGTCCTCCCGCCTTTGGATCGTTCGTCCTGCTGCTGCTGCTGCTGTTGCTGTTGTTGTTGCTGTTGCCGTTGTTGTTACTATTTTATTGTCGTAGGATTAGAATGATGACTCTAAAGAAGGATTCGCATTCTTACATTTTTTTAGAAGTTTTTTATATGATAAAATTAATAAAAGCTTGAATGCACGAATAATATAATTTAGGAGAGCAACTTCACTTGTTTTATTTTTTCTTTAATGTTTAAACAAAATTTTTTTCATTGTACTATTAACGATATTAACTTTAGCCTTGCTGTTTTTTTACTGTTAGATATGGGAGCCGTATAAATAATAGTATAACTATAATCAATCGATAATCGATAATAGTATATAATTATATAGGTCATGTGATACATACGTTTAGAAGGAGGACGACGTGGCGTTCGAAATGATAATTGGGGTGGCGATGATCTCTGTGGCGAAGTTATTACAGCTCCTGCCTCGTCTCCTGGACAAGGTAGACCTGGGAACCGGGTACGGTCGAGGTGGTGACGAAGCTGCGGTGTTTGGCACGAATCAAAGTCAAATTGCTTTCAGCGGTATCGGCACGGTCTTCGGCTGCTTCGAGTTCTCTTTGGAATCGGCGGACCCTGGTCACACTTTGCTGGGACATACCCTCTTGCTCTTGGAGTTGTCTCTTATAGATGCTGACTTTTTGATTCGCCTTGTCTAACGATTCTTGTAGCAAAGCAATGTTCTTCGAGTCTTCCTCCACTTGGATCATTACCTCCTTGATGTTTCGTTCTTTTTTGCGTAAAATCTTCACAGTCTCCGAATGTCTGCGTTTCTCCTCGTCCAATTCGAGTTCCAGGTCACGAATCTATAAATTTTTGTTTGATTAACGAATTTAATTACATTGGTTTATTTAATTGTGAAAATAAGGTCATGAAAATATATTAATTTTTTACCCTGGCCTCGAGCTTGCTGATTATACGTTTGCCGCCAACAATCGCGTTGGCCTCGACTTCCTCCAATCTTACCGACAAATTCTTAACTTCGATCTCAAGCGATTTTTTGATTGCCTCAATCTTAACGATACGTTCTTGTTCCTCGTGCAGAATCTCTACGGTATGTTTCAACTCGTTCTGTACACGTTGATATCTTTCGTCGCTGACCCGCAATTCCTTGGTAACTTCCTCGTAATCACCAGCCAAGGTTGTTAATTCTTGCTCGAGCTTAGCCTTAGACGAAGCTATGTTCACATTAATAGTTGTCAATTCGTTGATACGGCTAACCGACTCTTCGTATTGCTGCTCGACAGTTCTCTTTGCGCGGAGGGCCTTGAAAATTACAAATATTATGTTATCAATTGATAAGATTTTATATTTTGTCAAAGCTCGATCGAATGATCACTCACGGATTCGTAATTGCCGCGAACTTCCTCGAGCTCGGCCGTCAATGATTGGAGACGTCTCTGGCTGATGCCCAACTGATCCAAGGTTACCTGCAGTTGACGTTGAACTTCATCGTAGTGGGCTTGGAGTTCCTGAAGAATAATAAATAGATAGTTAGCAAAAGTTTTGTTCGTTGAAGATAAGATTTAAACAAATTGAAATACGCACGGTAAGGGTAAGAGATTGCTTCTTTATGGTCTTTTGCAAATCGATGTTGTTCTTATTGGCAACGTCGAGAGAAAGTTCCAGTTCGGTGATCTGAATCTGGAGCTTCTTCTTTACACGCTGTACTTCGGTCTTCAGCTTCGTTTCCGCTTCGACGACACGGGCATTCAATTGCTCGATCTCAATGCTGGTCTGCTTGCTAAGTTAACGTAACAGATCATGATAATATATCGAATAATATTGACTTTGGGCAATGAGTTTGTAAAGCATAAAGCAAAAAAGCTGATAGTTTTAAGGATTAAATTTATTTCATAGGAAACTAGGACAGAGAAATTGTTAAAATGAACGGAAGGAACTTGGCAAAAGATTTAAAGCAGCGATAGATTAATCGATCGAGACTATATCGAATTTTCATAGTTTATTTAGTTTACCCTTGTCTGAACATTCGAGTATTTTTAACACATAGGTGCTGTCGTTTAGCGGTTTGTGTACCAAAAACGATTATAATATTTATAATCCAACATGGGGCCACGTTCGCGATAGGCAAATTCTTGTCGGATCCGCTTTCGAGTATCTCGATACCTCTTGTCCAGAAAATAATTGCTCGATCTCTTCTCGTATCCGCGTAGCTCCTTACTGAGAATATCAAGAGGTTCCGTCAGTCTAGCCTCGTCGAGGATCAATTTGGCCCTTTCCTCCATTAGTTTGTTGTAATCTCTTCCCTCCCAAAAAGCATGGCTCGTTTCTGTTTGATACTTTCGAATATCAGCGAGTTCTTGACTTTTGCTAAGATTTTTCAGAGCTTCGGTCCTAAGTTGAATTTCTATAGCTTTTGCAGATTTCCCACGAAGACTTCTGCCGTGATCTAAATTTTCCTGGACTTCTTTCAACATCTGGATATCCTTTAGAGCTTGCATTTCGATGGCAGCTAAGGCTTTCAATTGCACGTCTCTCGGTACTTTCTTTTTTGGATATTCGCTAATCCAAAACGGAGAAACTCGATTGAGGATGTCCTGTGTCACTCTACTAGCGTGTACAGTCTTTTCCCGGCTAAAGTCCGTCCGTTTGGCTATCTTCGAATGTGAAAAGGAAGTCTCGTTAATCGTTAAGCGATTTTATTTGTTGAAATTCCTCGCTTAAGATAGCAAAGTTTAACTATATTCGTAGAAGATTAACCAGAGTTAATTTCTTTTTTCTTTCTTTCTTCTTCTCTCTCTCTAAACTTAGAAATGCAGCGACTGAAACTCTCGAGTTTCTCTTTCCCTTTCTCTCTCTCTCTCTTTCTCTCTTTCTTGCTCGACAACCGTAGCACGACTGACTTCGCCCGATCTGACTTAGTAGTCTGGGTGACGCGAGATGAATTTCTTTTCATCACTCGAGTGACTTGGCAAACGGCTCATCGAGAGACGATGAAGAGAAACGTTCCAAATAATAGACTGCCAACGAAACGTTTGACGTGCTTCCGCAATATTTTTACCGATAGTCATTCTTGTTACCGAAGAGGTAAAGACAAAGCATTAAAGAATCGTTGAAAAATTTATTGGTTGAAAGGAAAAGAGAGAAATGAGAAAGAGAGAGAGAGAGAGAGAGAAATGAGAAAGAGAGAGAGAGAAAGATGCGCTAGACATTCGCCTTCGTTTTCGTTTTTGATCTTAGCTATTCGCTCGCTCAAGACGATCATTTCCGCTGTACCAAATTTAGAAAGCGAAAAGGTCAAGTGGCTCGCTCAATCTGTGTTTTCTCTAGCGGGGAAAACGTATTTCCTGAACGCGCTAGTCCCATATTATTTTCTTATTAATTGTTCGATCCTTTCTATTTTATCTGAAATTAAGAAAAATTGTTTCTATTTTTAATTCTTTCATTTTCATACCTTAAAACGAGATAGATGACCCCTCGCTTGATCCTCGGCATCAAACGCTCGTTTTATCAAATCGTTCTTGTCATAGGTTTGTAATTCTTTATCCTCCCACAAAAATCTGCCATCTGACCAAGGTAGGTCTGGAAATTCGTTTCCATTTCCATTTCCTTCTAATCGGCCTAACGCCGATCTTGATCTTTCCCGTTTCTCTTCCTTTCGATCAATATAATCCACCATTGGTTGATAATAATTTATACCGTATCCATAATTCTTATCATAGACGTATGTTGGCCAGTGCCGCCATTTTGACTCAAGTGGCACTTGGCTAGGTGGCATGTAACCCACCATTTTGTCTATTCGGCTTTTATTTCTTTCTTACAAACACCTAACACTAACAATTTCGTTCTGAGTTTCCTCAGGCTCGAGATCCTTTTTAATACGATCCGAAAGTATGACTGATACGGCCGAACATTTACGGTGAGCAATCTAATGATAATTAGGCCGAAGCTATGACGGCATCTTTTGCAAAGTTTTCCTTTGTGATTGCCACATTGAGAACAAGCGATCATCACCTTTTAATAACGATCGGATCGCGACTAGTTTTATTAATAGAGTGAGCGTAGACATCGACTGATATTATCATTTATTACTTTCTCATTAGTTTCTTATTATTTTATTATTCTTCTTCTTGCCGAAAGTCGATAATACTTTTTATTAATAAATTATTGATTATTATATCTTACTTTTCTATTTTAATTTAATTAACCATTAATATTTATATATTTCATCTTCTATAGATGATCTTTCCAATTTTATACATTTTATTTTCATTACTTAAAATAAAATCATTTAATTTTATCATTAGAATTCAAAGATATTTTCATTATTAAGTGCCATCGTATTCTAATATATTGATTGTGGGAGCTAAGTGATCGATTATTTAATGGCGGTTCGATTTTCGCGGTCGCCGACACTTTGCATGTTACATAGAAATAGATCGAGTATAAATAGTAATTGGGTCGATATAGTAGTCGGATAAATCGATCATCAATTTGAACGTATTTTATAAATAACACTATGTTATGTACAATTAAAGATATATACGTTGTAAACTATTTCAAATATGTTTGATTTGATTACTAATTGTCTATGCATGCGTACTACGAGTTAATGAAAATTTCTTTGGGCGTATTTCCCATAGTAGCGAGCTTGATTCGCATGATCATTTATTGAATCAACAGATACATTCGTCTATATATATGATTTACAGTAGATATAAAGGTGATAGATATCGATTGGTTTCACTCACGTGCAAATTATTCAATATATTTTGTTATTTCGTAAATAATTTAATTATTATTTAAAATCATGCTTTATAAAGTTATCAATTAGATATATGAAATCTAATATTTCTTCATGCTGAAAAAAGCTTTTTCAAGACAAATAGGTTAATATATTAATTATCAAGGTAATTTTTTTGAAATCAATATACTCATCTAATAATATTCATAATTTTTTTTACATGAAAGATATAAAAAAATTCATGTCTATAAAAAATGTCCATCCATAAATATCCTAGCAAATATTTCACGACTGGTTGAAGTTTCAAGAAAGATTAATAAATGAAATTTGCATGGCTCTGAGTCACTTGCGAAATTCTTATCAAAATTTTGTGTTTATCCTTGACCTTTTCGAAATGAAGATCAATATAGTTTTTTTTAAATGAATTTCTTTAATTTTTTTGTATATTTATATAGTAGTGTTCGTTTGCAATTATAATCATATTTAATAAAATATTTCTACTGTGTTTTATTTACAAGATAATCGGCATCTTTTAAATATTAAAGTAATTGGTTTTTCATATCACAAGTTGAAAAACAATCGTCAGATTGCATTATATTTTGAAGACTTCGTCGGTGATATCGAACGAAATCAGTGATCTTCAATTCGTCAAAATACAAGACACGTTTGATTTGTTCATAATGTATTTGTATAATGTGAATTACATGAATATTAGTATAACATGAAGTATGAATTAGTAAGGTATGAATTTGTTAATCAATCGTTAAGATGCATAATAGTAATTTTTTACTAGATATGATTTTGATTGCAAATCTTTGCTATTATATAAATATGCAAAAAAAATTATAGGTATCCATTTAAAGAAATTCTGTTGACTTAACTCGAAAAGATCACGCTAAATAAATAATTTTTATGTACACTTTATAGCTGACTCAGAGTCGTATAAATTTCTCTTATTTAACTTTTATGTAACTTCAACTAGTCGCAAGATATTTGTTCGGACATATATGGACGAATACTCTGTATATAATTTTCACATTAGACTTTACTCTTATTAAGAAGTATACTTTTAATCTTTTAAACATAAGACAAAAAAATTCCTTATAAGCAATTTAAATAAAGTTTGTAAACTTGAGTATCATCGATGAGTCCTATACCATTCAAAGTATTAGGAAAAAAGATCTTTCATGGCAAATACTTACCGAATAATTTCAATCTCCTCGTCCTTCTCAGCAATACGACGTTCATACTCGTGACGGAGTTGGCTCAACTCGGCTGATAGTCTCTGCGAACGTTGTTCTTCGATCTTGCGACCCTAGAATCGAGCTTCTTGCATTAAAATCCGATTTACAGATCGTTTATTAAGATTTAAGGTAAAAGAGGAAATTGATGATAAAAAAGTCGATAGAAAACTTGATAATAGATGAGATTTAAATTACTAACTGCTTCGGCTTCTTTGTAAGCAGCAGCAAGTTCTTCACGTTCATTTTCCAAACGACGAAGTTCCAATTCCAATTCGTGCAATCTACGGTTCATGTCAGCTAGTTGATTTTTGGCATCGCTGAGATCATCTATGAATGAGTTCATTGAATGTAAATTTTAAAATGTATAAAAAGTCTTCTCTGTTATTATTGTTATTGTTTTTCTTAATTATCAACTTACCACCCAATTTCTTATTCTCACGAGCCAATTGATCTTTGATCTCGCGGGTCTTGTCAAGTTCAGCGTTTGTACGTTGCAATTCTTGTTGTTTGTTACGAAGATCACGTTGACTTTGCTCGTACATAGCCACAGTCTCATCGAGACGAGATTTCAATTCGATTTGTATCTTTTCTAAATGTTCAACGCGTTTTTGCAATTCTCGGGCAGTTCCATTGGCCTGAAATAAAATATTAAAGATTATATATGTTGAAATTGAATTGATAAAAATCAAGTGTAAATTAAAAAGAAATTTTTAAAAAGAATTTTTACCTTTTCGAGATCGATGATAAGAACTTCTACTTCCGACTGAAGACGAGATTTTTGTTTCTCAAGATTGTTGATCTTCACGAGAAGAGTTTCAATTTGTTCTTCCTGTTCTTGTATACGAGCAGCATACTTGCGACGTAATTCCTCAACCTAAAAACAATGAATAGATTCGATGATTAAGAAGAAGTTATTGAGAAAAATTATTGATTGTTTTAATCGATATATTCGATAATACTAAATATCACACCTCTTCCGCGCGAGCATTAGCTTCAGTCTCGTATTTCGATCTCCATACAGAGACTTCACCATTGGACTTGACCAATTGACGTTCGATATCCAATCGTGCTTCAGATTCTTCTTCCAATTGAACCCGAACGGACTCCAATTCCACTTCGACCTGCCGTGAAAATTAAAAAATTTTTTATTTCATAATATTGTAAATATCTAATAGTTTTAATATTGTATTAATAATTGATAATAGACCTGATGCAAAGATGCCTCGACCAACGATCGACGACGTTCCTCATCTTCGAGACGGCGACGAGCATCTTCGAGTTGTCCAACGATTTGAGTCTTCAGATAAGTCACGTTTTCGATGTTTACCTAAAAATAAAATTGATTGACAATTTTAATGAGAATTTTTTTTTCTTTTGAATCAGTGATTTCATTTTTCTTCTTATCTTTAATACTATCTTACTTTGAGATCTTGCACTTCCTTCGTTAATTCGATGTTCTCTTGCGACAGGCGAGTCTTATGACTAGTAATGTCAACGATCGTACGATTGAGTTCCTCGATCTTCACGTTCAACTCCGATATATGAACTTCGAGTTTTTCCACTGTCTTGATGGACATTAATTTCTCTTTCGTGACATTATCCAACTGGGCGAGTAATTCGTATACTTCCTGCTGGAATTTCGATTTTTCCTTATCAGCCCTGTAATATTTAAGCAATAAATTAATCGATTGTATACCAATAGCGCTTTATATAAATTAAAAAAAAAAAAATAACAAGAACGATGAAAGTAATGTATTTTCAAACGAGCATAATCAAAATTTTCTTGATAAATAAATTTCAAAAAATACACATAATCAATTACTTTTGATATAAGGATAAAGAACAGCATCCTTTGAAGAAGAAATATTTATAGTATTAACTATAAAATAGTATAAAGTCACAACAGAGTACGATAAGAGAGGGAGAGGGAGAAAGAGAAAGAGAAAGAGAAAGAGAAAGAGAAAAAGAGAGAGAGAGAGAGAGAGAGAGAGAGAGAGAGAGAAAGAGAAAGAGTAATATCGTAACGAAAATACGACATGATCGAAGAGTAAAATGGTAGAGAGAGTAGTGGTTGGGGGTTTTCGAGCTTTCGAAGGTCAATGGGCCGAACGTGAAATGGAAGGCAGAGTGAGCGCCATGGCGCTAGACGTTCATCATATATCTTTTTCTGACAGTTGTCATCCTTCGTATTTCAAAAATGGCTTGTGTGAATGAAGATTTTGAAAATATTATCTCGTTTCTTCTTGTAAAGCATGCGATAGAGGGTATAAGGTGTCGTTTTCTCGATTCCGAGTATAGTGGGGATTCGAGCTAGTCGCGTGTACTAATATGGCGCGGCAACGTGGGCTTGAGTATTGCCGCGCGAGTCGTACGGGTAAAAATAGTCATAAGCCGTATGTGTATACGCGAGAGCAAAAGGGAAAGAGTAAGAGTGTTGAGAGAGAAAGATAGATAGATAGATAAAGAGAGAGAGAGAGAGAGAGAGAGAGAGAGAGAGAGAGAAACGAAGTGGCGCTATTTTAACAAGATCCATCGTGTTAACGTTTCTTTTTCGCTTCTCGACTTCACTAACAGGTGGAATGACACGATCTCCTGCTTCTCTTTGCCTACTATCAGTTGGTTCCTTTCTCTTTCTTCACGTGCTACTATAATCGCGCCATATCTCCTATTGAATTTTGTCAATGAACTCGTCTACTCAAGCATAATAATGCCGGCTTTTTCGTAAGTGCCCATGTTTGATCTTATCATGATCATCATCATGATCATCATCATCATCATCACCATCATCACCATCATCATCATCATCATCATCATCATCACCATCATCATCATCATCATCATCATCATCATCATCATCATCGTCATCATACTCATCGTTAGTTAGCTCTAAAACGTTAGAAAGCTAACGACGAGAGAAGGGTCGACTCGGACGCCTCGAGTATTACGAGGCAAGGTAACTATGTTTAGAATTGCCGAGGTAGTGAGTCTTCGTGTATTTCAGGTGCGAGTAACTCTGCTGCTTGGACTAGGGCCAATATCGCAAGCATAATCCGTGCAAATTTTCAAACGTATACATACATCTACGTACTTTCGTCCGCGCGGAGATAAGCTATAAATAGATCGGGAAGATCCTGATTCAGTAGTAGAAAGAGAAATCATGATACTCTCTCTCTTTCTCCTCTCTCTTCTCTCTCTCTTTCTCTCTCTCTGTTTTTTTCGGTTTTTCATATTTTCATATTTTCATATTTTTTACTTATCTTAATCAGAACTTCACCAACCTGGCACGAGCTTTTGAAAGCTGATCAATTTGATCCTGGAAGTCAACAACAACTTCTTGATGTTTCTTTCGCAAGAGATGAGCAGTCTCCTCGCTCTCGAGATGAACATCTTCCAAGAGTTTACGTAACTTGGCTAGTTCCGTGTCCCTCTTCTTGTTGATCTCGAACTATGATGAGAATGGTAAGTGACAAATAGGTTCTCTTCCACGAGATGATATCGAAGGACACGAGGATAAAAGACTTACCTGAGATTCGGCGCCACCTTCTGCTTCTTCGAGACGTTCGGATAGCTGGATGACTTGCACGCTCAAATCGGCGCGCTCGCGTTCGATCTGTGTTAAAGAAAATGAATGATATTTAAAAAAAAAGATATCATTGTTTTTTACAAAATTTCATTTAACGTCATTCTTACATTGATAATTTAATTATTAATGTAATAACGATCTCTCGTTATTTCCAATAGAATTGTAGATCATATAAATCGATATCTCGAATAGAAAAAAATTTTCATGAAAAAGGAAACCAAACTGATAGTTACTTTGCATGGTTTGATTACTCCGATGCAAGCTTGACGTCAGGTTTCTACTCACCGCGAATAGAACGATCTAATTTCGGATGGAGTCACTCTATATTGGGAACTTTATTCATATTACAAACGAGACATTTATCGCGGCTGGAGAGTCACGTGATATATTTTTTCTTGCAATCTTATTCAAGAAATCTATTCTTCAAGATATCCATAGGTATAGTAGAAAAAAAATAATAATAACTGAAAAAGAAAAAAAGAAAAAGAAAGGAATTCCGATAAATTTTCTTTCAATTTGTATAATAATCGATTAGTGAAAAATGTTTTTGGTTTTGTCTTCTGAAATGAACGCAAGGAATCATATATTTGAAATATCGAAAAGTTTCACAGTAATACGAGTCAATAATTAAGTCGACATGCCTTAAAGATGCCTTACAAAAAATCGAAATTATTAACGTTCTTTCGAAATTATTTCTTCCGGGAATTATTTTGTTTGTTTTATTATATCAATCATTTCAAAATTTTTTTTATTATAAAGAAGAGACAAAAAAGAAAAACTAAAAAGAATTATTCTCAGATCCTCCTTCAAAAAGTCGACATTTTTGAAATCGTATTATTATCCATGATCGTTATTTTTAAGATCGCGCTAACCAACGAAAGTTATTCTTCGCACAAAGCGGCTGATCCGCGTCGGCAACATACTTCGAAGGAATGTCGGAACGCTTCGAGAGCCGCGCATCCCCAAAAATAGATTGGACTGTAGAGCTGGACATTTCGACATCCTGTCGCTCCCCACTCCGGCCTTCGGACCGATGGACCGCGGTCTTACATTTTTCTCTGATCTTTTTCTCTCTGTTTCTTGCTTCTAGGATCACGAAACGATCGCTTCCCGATGTGAGAAATTCAAAAATAATTTCTCTTTGATCGCGATATCGGAATCATAGATTTTACACAGAGATCGCCAAAAAGAAATTCTTTTCTTCTTTCTTTTTTTTTCTATCTTTCTCTTTCCTTTGCCAGGACTTACCCTCTGACGCAGCTCTCTCTCGGACTCCAAATCATCCTGCAGTAGGCGAATCTTGTCCTGAAATGAGAAAGAACGAAGGCCTGTAATGAGGGTCGAGATCTTCTTTAGCTTTGTAATCGTTCGAAATCGATGGTTTATGTAACGAAAGAGAATTGTTAGACGAAAATATCCGAAAGTACACGAAGTTTGAGTTATTTTATTAGGTTTTTTGATACTTTAAAGAAAACTCCGTATTCTGACGAACGGCCATCAGGCCATCAGGAAGGATGAGGACGTGTTCGCTTTTGATAATTTCAGGATCGATTATTTGGATCGATCGATCGATCGTATCGGTCATTGATCGCGCCGGAGAATGCAAGACGTACAACTATTTTTATAGGCTAGCGTTTGAATACTTGGACGAGGAGAGATAGTTTGGGTTGTACACTTTCGATTGGCACTAAGATGGTCCTTATGGTCACTGAACTTGTGCGCGTCACTGCCATTCCATTCAGATCACTCCTCACTTTGCTTGTTCGGCGAAGACACTCGCGTCTGTCGATCATTTCTATCTCTCTTGCATTGACATATATTTTTTAGTTTCCATTTTATATTTTTCTAGTTCACGCCAAGTTATAGCACGATAATGTTCTAATAATATCTAATAGAATGTTTTCACAGGTGATAGGATGGGGATCAACATACCTCGAGTCTGGAGAGAGCACTCAGGTCGGCGCTGTATTCGATGCTGACATCGGCAGAGCCTGCACCGCCAGTTGAACGGTACGTGTATTTGGAAGTTTTCGCGACGGCCGAAGACATCATCGATTTCTTCTACTGTAATCCTTTTCTTCCTTTACGATGGTCACAATTTAATTCTCGAACTCGAACTTTTTCTTCGGCGGAGACACTTTTTTCAAAAATATATATTTATATATACGTATATCCTCTTATCCGTTTCCTCGAGAACTCGGACTACTTAATAATTCTGTCTGTCTCTCTTTCTCTCTTCTTATTATCGTCGTTCGCTTCCTCGTTCTCGTTGTTTCTCCTCTTCGGCGTTTCGGAGCCGACCAGCGCCCTACTCGTAGTGCGCGACCCGTCGTCGTTCGTATGGCGCGCCGGCCGCCCCATGGCTTCCTCAAAATTCGACGCTCAACGCAGGCGCACTAGATCCTCTCCCTCTATAGATCTTCCCTCCTTCTTACCCTTACCCTCGCGTCCTCGGCACACGTCTTCCTCGTCGCGTGTACTTACCACAACGAGAACAAGAATCATCATCTTATCGAGACGCCCACTTTGTGTATTACTCGAATTCTCTCTTTGTGATCTTATGGAAATTATATCTAAGAGAGAGAGAAGGAGAGAGAGAGAGAGAGAGAGAGAGAGAGAAAGTAGCAAAAGTGAAATGAGATCGATCGAGAACATCTTTGTTGTTTCTTTTTTATGATTTTTTAAATGACTATTACACATTTTTTACAATTAATAGTTCTTTCGCTGAGTAATTATAATGAGGATTATGTTTCCATTAGTAATATTTTGATTGTTATAACTTTTTTTATTTAAATATGTACGGTCTGATCCTATACATACTTTTACTACTTTCGTTTTAATAACTCTTACCAAATCAATGTATGAAATCAATGTTTGGCGCATAATGATCTCATGACAAAGATTTCTGACGTGGCGGAATGAAAAGACATCGTTTGATTAAAATGATTGCCAAATAATCGGTAACACGTCGCTACAGCACCAAAAAAGATACGCTGACTCAAGCGGGAACGAATTTTACATTAGATCGAAAAATACAACTACTTGTATCTACATATTTCTTGAAATCATCGTAGAATTTAGTCGAATGACAAATGAGTTTCGATCGAAATTTCTTTTTGATACTTTGGATAGTAAGAGATACTAACTTGATAGAAGCTGATCATTATTGATTGTATTGGCTCTAATCTTTTTTTTATCCATTATTGATTGTATATTTACAATCTTCGAATTATATGTGTCTTTTGAAAAATTTACATGGATGTGTTTCAGTTTTTTTTTTCTGAAAAAATCATCATAATTAGTATTTTCATATAGGAGAATCGAATGATGAAGTCATCGAATAGAATTTCATAAGGATCAAAGAAGGGGAAAGGGAAGAATTTATTCATCTTTTATTTGGAAAGAAGGGAAGATCTTCGCGATCTTCTTTCTCCGGTGTTCCGACAGATTTTCACACAATTTCCTCGAGTCTCCCACCTCAAGCCAAGAGCGTCGAGTGTCTATAAAAGGTCGCCGAGCGATGGTGGGCAAAGACGTTTGGTCGGCCTAGCCGGGAGCTCCACGAGTAATTTGAGATTGGCCCCTTCTCTTTGGTACTTCTCATCCCTACTTTGTCGTCATCTCCTCCCCGAGAGTCGATGTGGCTCACCCTGGTGGAGAATTCCAGTGATGAGAGAGACCATCTCTTTCGTTCTTCTCTTCTCATCAGATCCGTGGACCAGAATAAACATCAACCTCCTTCTCTTTCTTTCTCTCTCTTTTTCTTTTCCTACTAATCATCCTGTATTTTCCTTGTATCCGCGTTTTCGATTAGAATCTTAGATTCGTGATAATTAGATTAGTGATACATTTTTACTTTTCTCTTTTTCTTCTATTCCTTTATTTAACTTCTATTCCAAATTTTTTCGTAAATCATACATTATATATATATACATACATACATACATACATACATACATACATACATACATATATACATATATACATACATACATACATACATACATACATACATACATACATACATACATACATATATACATATATACATACATACATACATACATACATACATAGATACATAGATACATACATACATACATACATACATAGATACATACATACATACATATATACGTACATACATACATACATACATACATGCATACATCTATATAAACATGTGTGTGTCTGTGTGTAAAGCTAGGTTTGCGTATTCATTTGAAAATACGTTAGCAAGTAAATCCTGCTCCCATTCGATATCGTTCCCATTTTTCTCAATTCGGTTAAATGGTATCTACGGGTGCTTCTGGAGCTTCGTGAAAGCGCGCTGCCCTAATTTCCTATAAATATCTCCACTCCTGTTCGGCTGCAACTCTCATGCACTGTATCGAAAGATCTTGACTTCTTGACCATCTGTTTAGTGTTTATAAACATGGCCTCTCACCACTGATCGACATGTAAACTTGACCCCGCTTACCCTCCCCATTCTCCTACTTCCTTTATTATATCCATCATATTATTCACAAAAATATCAAGGATATTTGTTGCTTCGAGAATCAATCGTTTCTTTTCTTCGAAAATTGTATCATTTGTTTTTTTATTCGTCAAAATTTGATTCGTGAAATGTTTTTAAATTTATCGTAATCTTGTATTTCTCTTAATAGTACCTCTCGTGTAAAACTATCGTGTCATTGATCATTGAGATAGATTGATCGAACATAGTGTAGCAGGTGGTAGCTTTCAGAACGTTAGTTCTCGTAGGTCTTTTATTAACGAGGAAACAGCTGTATTCGAAACTTCGGATTGAAAGGAACAGATTGAGGATATTTAGAGAATACGAATATGTGTGTTGCGATCTTGCGTCTTTTCGATCCAGATCGAATAGAATTCAGGTCGTTGTGGCTGGATAAACACAGGATCCATAATATCAAATTTTTTTGAAATACATAAACCAGCATTTTTAATACGATTATTTAAGGATTAAGTTGTACTAGAAGAAATATTATAAACGATTATAATATACAGAACACATAAGTAATATCACATTGACGTTAAGTTTGATTTCAATCACGAAGAATTTGGAAATACGTAGGAGATAAGCGATAAACGTTCGATAAATCCTCAACACATTAAAGCACGATCCGCGAAGAGCCGTTGACTCAGCGTCCAAAATCGTTGTGAAAAACGTCGAGCAGAGCTTTTCGGCATTGCGAGCAAAATTTCAAGATGACTAAGTTGTTCTATTCTTATCTTAACAGTGTATCCTTTGTATCTACTGGGAAAGTAGAGTAAGCTCGAAAGTGAGTCTTCATTTTGAATATGCGTTGTTCAGTTAAAAATGGGATTTATATGTAAACAAATACATTTAAACAAATTATGAAGAATTCATATTTGAATAGTAATATATATTATTATTTCGAGTACATTTTAATTACATTAAAAGTTTGTTGACATATTAATTTGACAAATTATCACATTTAAAAGATAAATAACATTTTAGAAAGATTAAAGTTATATTTTTGTTCCTTTAACATGTGACAAACGATCCATTAAACGTGTAATTTGTCTTGATCGATATTAATTAACGTCATCGTTGTTGCAAGCTTCTCGCCAATTTTCGATACTATTTTATGTTTGGCACAATAATTGTAAAGCTTTCGAAAAAGCCTCGAAACATTTTACTGGACAATGAAAAATATGCGAGTTATTAAATATTGATAAAAAATTAAATTTAGAAATACAGATCAAGTGGATACATTATTTTTTAAAATCTTTAAAAAGTTCTGAGAGCTTTTCGGATCATGACACTAGTGCCATCTTCTTTGAAAAGAATATACTTGTACTGTAGGAAGATTTAACGTACAAGCTGTTTAACTTCTATCGGTACATACACCGAAGACAGCTTTCACAAACACGAGGTAACTTGTCTATCAAGTGTATCGCGTGAATTCGTAAGCTTCACCGAAGTTAGCAGCACGATTTCTAACGACGAGGACATCGAAATTTAAAATAGAAAACTACCGTCAATTTTAACGAAGAAAGAAAGAAAAAAAAACGAGCTTTCTCGTAAAATCTTATATGCAACGTGTTCCACATTCGGAATTTCTAAAACTTGCAAATTTCAATTCTTCTTTATCTTCTTCTAGAGATCTTAGAAAAGAAGAAAAGAATAGAAAATGAAAAAAAAAGAATGAAAAAGGAACGCTCAAAGAATTTCAAGTTCTCAAGAAAATTAAGTTCTCTCTCTCTCTCTCTCTTTCTTTCTCTCTTTTAAAATCAGAGATGTAGTTTTTCTAAACGAATTACGCGGAAAAAGTTATTTTCCAGTATATTTCCTCATTTCTTTCTTTTCTTGCTTAGAGTAAAATTATGCGGGAAACATAAGTACTTAATATAAATGTCTTTGGAATAAGAGAGGGTAGCTGGTCTTGTTTCAACGTTATAGAGTTTAAAAGAGCGTAACATTATAAAGGTTCTTGAGGATATTAGCAACGACATGAAAAGAGATGGAACAATTGGGATCGGGCTAAGTAAAGAAAGAAAGAAAGAAAAAGAGAGAGAGAGAGAGAGAGAGAAAGACAGAAAGAGAGACAGAGAGAGAGAGAGAGAGAGAGAGAGAGAGAAAGAGAGACAGAGAGCGAGACTGAGAGAGAGAGAGAGAGAGAAAGAGAAAGAGAGAGAGAGAGAAAAAGAAAGAGAGAAAATTTCCGATTTCCGCTGTCGGAAGGTTCATGGAGAGTTCGAAGTTTTACTCGAGTAAACGAGAAGGGAGAGGATACAAGAAGCTATTCTTAAAATAGGGCTCGAGTCGGCAGGGTGGAGAAGAGAAGAGAAGAGAAGAGAAGAGAAGAGAAGAGAAGAGAAGAGAAGAGAAGAGAAGAGAAGAGAAGAGAAGAGACGAGACGAGAAGAGTAAAGAAAAGAAAAGAAGAGAAGAGGAGGGAAGACGACGTGCCTCGCGGGTCGCCGGTTCTTCGGGGTCCGAGCTTCGTCCGAAACGAAGCGCCTTCGTAGCGGCGCTCTTCATTCTCATCGGAGCCTCATTTACGAACCGTTCGAACTTGAATCGGTTCGTCTTACGTGGTGTCGAGGCTCCGACAATTTCTAACCCTTTCTTCCTTTCATATATATATTCTCATTCTCCCTCTTATTATCCCCTTTTTTTCTCGATTCTTTTCTCGACAATTTTTTCTCGAATTTACGAAAGCTTAGGAAAGTTCGCGCCGGTGATAATGTGTTACTGGTGGTGATAGTTATTTTGGTGGTGGTAGTGTATATGAGGATAATGTCAATGATATTCCATTGGTGATGGTGGTTTTAATAATAGTGTTTCATGCATGTAACACTATTGGTGCTGATTCTACGTTACACAGCAAATACGAATCTACTTCGAAGAAAATTTATCCCGTTTTCTACCAATCTTTTCAAATTCATTCATTTTGAAGAAGGATCATGGCATCTTATAGGAGCTATGTAAGTTCTTTCAGACATAGGACACCACTTTTCACGATATTATCAAATCGGTAAGTTCTCTTTCTTATCATTGATAAGTAAGAAGAATAAGAGAGTCGAAGTACGTATTCGTTTGTTATTATAAAACATAGATAAATAAATAAATAAATAAATAAATAAATAAATAAATAAATAAATAAATAAATAAATATATATATATATGTATGTATGATGGATTTCATTTAAACATACTGGTTATATCATCGCGAGTTATTTCGTTGATTCTCTATAAGACAAGCTTTGAGCTTTCTGTGAGATCTCGTGCTTATGGATGGACGCGGAGATGAGCTCAATGTTGGCTGGCTGGGTAACTGGATGGCTGGCTGGATGAATGACTGACTGACTGTTGGTCGCCAAAGGGTAACGAGATGCAAATATTTGTCGAAGAATATGCAATGTCGCTGGAGTTCGGTGCAGAAATGTTGGGCGTGACCTGGCTACGAAGAAAGAGAGAGAAAGAGATTTGTGAACTAAAAGCCGACGTGTCGGTGATGGCGCGGCTAGCAAAATTAGCCGGGTCTTTCCCAGACGACGTCTGCTTGCTGGCCATGCATATGTGTATATGTATATCGATACTTAAACATGTGCGTCTTTCTTTGTATATAACACACACACACACACACACACACATATATATATATATACATAATATTGTGTATAATATATATGTCTAAGATAGGTACGTCAGTATAAAGCTTTTTTTGGCGCACAATACAATATTTGAAATATAGACGTTTCGTTATTGGTATCGAAGATGGCTCGAGTACATCAAAGTTCAACTCGAAGGAGATACAGACTTCCAGAGTCAGACCGAGCGTATAAACTCTTGTAAGTCAGGTGCGCAGTTATTAAAAATAATTTCTTTCGATTAAAGTAAATAAGATAATTCGTTTTTTTTTTCTTTTTATTATTATCTAACAATTATTCTTTCTAATTGGAAGTTTAAATTGCTGAACTGGATGGATTGATCATTATGGTTATTTACAACGGGAGTCATTAAGTTAAGAATATTTTATAAGAAAAAATAAACGATTATAAAAGAGAAAGTGAAAATTTTGAATGAACAAAAAATCGTTCATTTATTTAATAATAATTTTTCATTGAGAGATAAAATGTATTGATATAAAAGTTGAAGCAGATTGAATACGATTAAATGTCGTATAGCCATTATAAAGTATCCTGGCTATACGAACAATGAGTGGAAGGAGGAGTCGAGAGGAAGAAGATTTAACGGCTCTTTTGAATATTTCACGCGACAAGTCTTCAGAACGGCAAAACATTGCGCGGATCGCTTTAATTGAGCATCCCTTGCATTTTCATCAGCATCTCTCTCTCTCTCTCTCTTTATGGTTTAATCTTTCTTCTTCGTTTCTTTATCTATCTTAATGCATAGATAATGCATTCGTTTCTAATAATGTAGCTTTTTATCCGAAATTTATTAATTATTTAACAAAGGATAAAAATATTTCTACTTTTTGATTTTACATTTTTTCTTTTATTGACTTTTTCATATACGAGATATTTTATCATAATCAATCTACATATTTTATCAAAATTCTGAGTAGTATAAATCGATAATTATTTAATTAATGTCTGAATAATTAAAGTGTGCATTATCATATCTACTATATTTATTATTATTATTATTATTATTATTATTATTATTATTATTATTATTATTATTATTATTATTATTATTATTATTATTATTATTATTATTATTGTTATTATTATTATTATTATTATTACTATTATTATTATTATTATTATTATTATCATTAAATATACCAAACGAATTTGTACTTGTCATTTTCTTGATTTTTTGTAATTAATTAACTTTATTCTAGTTTACCCTTTGTACATGTGTACATATAAATATATATAATATAAAGGTGAGTGCTGGAGCGTATAGAAGAAAGAAGACGAGAACCACGAGACATGGTTATATTTAAACGTGCTCGTACGTGAATATATTTTTCTTTCTTCTTTCACTTTCTTGTGAAAGAAGAAAAGTTTGTGAATTTTATACTTGAATGAGTTGTTATAAAGGGTGTCATATCGTAACCGACAATACAGAAGGCAACGATTCTTTATTTACTTAATTCGATATTATATAGAAGCTTTATAAAAAATAGTTTTTCCGTCTAAAAATTTGTTTGTTTGTTTGTTTTTTCTTCAATAATTACCTTTAGGTAGCATAATTTTGTAGATAAAGAGAATTAACGATGCATCAAAGTTGCATCTCTCTCTCTCTCTCTCTCTCTCTCTCTCTCTTTTTCTTTACCTCTATATTTCCACATTTTTTTTCAGTAAATGTACATGCATATACATATATTCTCGTAATAGAGCGAGAGAATATTTTTATGGGAAAATACGGTACGAGAGAGTTGGCAACGGTGTTCTACCTTCGTGAATATAAAAATAATGGATACGCTAGTGACGCAAAAGAGAAAAGACAAATAGTCGTTACACAACTGAGAAAAATCGTCAAAATGGTGTTAGACATCGATCGATATCGCGAATAAAAATGAAGTTTTGATCGGAATAGATTATAAAAGTATTTTTTTTGATGATGGAGTGGTTAATGTGTTAATCGCTAAATAAAATTAAAAAACTCGCAAGAGAAAAAAGTTACGATCATTGGTATCCTCTGTCCGAGTTGATGTTACGATGGTGTAGAGACTTGTTTCTATCAGGTAAAGAAAATAACGACGTGCGATTTATTGGCTCGAGACGCTATTGAAAAGTTTATCCGTTTCCGATATTGGTATACCATGAAACTTCGTCTCAAGCTTCTAGCAACTTATACGGAAGCGAAAGAAAAAGAAAAAAAGTTTTCCAATTACGCGACAAAGCCATCGCTGTTTTCTCACCGAAACGTTTACTTTCTGCTATTTTTTTTATTACGAGTTTCCTTTTTTTATCCATTCGATTATTTCTTTTTTTAATTCTCTTCGTATTGACTTGGAATAACTGAGTTTGACGTTAACGTTCGACAAAGTGATCGAGGTTTGTTCGTCCACAAGAGAAAGGATTAATTAGAAGTTCTCTCGTCAATCAAACTTGAAATTCATTTCTAATAGTAATTCATTTCTAATAGTAATTAATGCAAAAGTAGTCGATTGCGAAATTCGAAAGGTAAACATTTATAACGCTTTAGTATTTTATATAAAGTATTATTATTCGGATAAAAAAGAAAAACAACAATAATAACAATAACGATTTTGTCATGAAAATCGAACTGTTAAATCAAAAGATAAGTCCGAAGGTCGAAAAGAAATGACCAGTTCGAGAGAACGCAGAGATTTTCCCTAAACGTTTGTCTCGTTCCTTTCGCTCATATGTAGCCGTAGCTGGAGCAGAACGTTGTAGAAGAGTAAAAGTTACGGTTCGTTACCTTTGATGAAACGTTAGCGGGTCGGTGGAGGTCGGTGACCGGAGCACATTGCAATTGCAAGATAGAGATAGAAAAAGATATATACGCATATGCGCACTCATGGAGAAATGTTAAAGATATCGCCTTTTTATTTTCATATTTTCATATCAAACATTTCAAATACGAGAACGAGATTTTCGGTCTGTTTGCGGAGCATCGACCGTAAAGAAAATGCCATCATCTATGGATACTGTGTTGAACCGATTCAACGATATTCGGAACAGAGCGAATAACAGTCGAGACGTTTACAACAACGTAACGATCACATGTTATTTCTGCCAAGAAATAGCAATAACATACATATGGATCTATACATACACTGAGTATAGTGTATATATACAATGAAATCCAAACAAAAAGTGTCCATCAGAATTATTATGAAATCTAGTAATTTTTTTCGAAAAACGCCACGACAGATACATTTTTCCGAAGAGGACATTTGACACTGTCATAAATTTATCCATTTTAGTCTAGCCCTCTAAAAGTAATAATACCCCCTCATAAATCTTAAATAATAAATAGAGATCGAGTGGAATATCGTTTTAAAGATCTTTTAATTCTCTTTACATTAGTAATATATTTTTTAATTTTGAATCAGTATTTTCCGAATCTGACAGTATTCTTCAACAGTGCGCTGCCAAACTTTTCCTATTGAAATCGATTGTATTTTAAATTTTAAATATCACCACAATCGAGATTCGAGAAAAAAATGTTTAAATGTGAATGATTGGAAAAATGCCGTTTTGGAGTTTCTTAGTATAAAATAACTCCATCGAGTTAAGAAAACACTTCTTCCGATATATTTTCATCATTTTTACTGATTTCTACGATCAATGAATAAATGTATGTAGTTCTTAAGTAAATCAAGATACAAATTTTCCATCAAATAATTTATAAAAGAAATAGATCAATAATTTTGTTATCCGAAATACCAGCCGTTTTGCATTCATCGGATTATACCAGATATTATTTGACGTAACACTTAGCGAAAACTTTATTATTGCATAGAAGTAGGCGGTATATATTTTGAATATTTAATAAAATAAAAGTTGTTTTCAAAACTGAGTTTGCGTTTTATTGTATCTGAAACTTCGGAACGCATTTTTTCGAAAAATATTGACTCAAAATTTAAAAAAGTAGCATTTTTGTAAAGAGAATTAAATAAAAATAATGAAATGTTATGCCATTTAATCTCTGTTGTTATTTAAAATTTTTGAAGATGCATCAAAGTTATACCTCTTAGGAGATTAACTCAAAGTAGGTAACTTTATGATGAGAACCTGTCCAACTCGTAAACAAAATTGACCTGTCTTGGTGTTTCTTGGAAAAATTGCTAGATTTCATAATAATCTTCATGGATACTTTTCGTTGAGACACACTATACATAAATATATATACATATATATATACATACGTACATACATAGATATACACACACACACACAGACACACACACACACGTATGCATATACATGCGTAGATATGTTGTGCACGAATTATCTTTCTCGTGCTAGCATGTCAGCTGGCATTGAATCATAAATTATAATGACGCGACGAGTCGACGAAGGTTAAATCAGGTTGACACGCTTCAATTAGTCGATTTTTTCTTTCGAGTCGATGTCACGGAACGACGCGCTCGCCCACGTCTTTCCGATCATCGAGATTTTAATCTATATATATATGTAAGGAAGATAAATATATATGCAAATATATGTGTACATATAGAATAAGTCTTCAATTTACTGGGATTCGAGTTACGCGGTTTGCGGTAGTTCGACTTAAATGAAGTTTTCTTTTCATAAGTGGAACCTGTTTAGCTTTAATTAACCTTGGGAATGAACATATGTGTAGTTGTATATATAATATATATCTTGGAAATATTAGGAGTTTAAGTATTATTTGGCTTGAACGAGTTTCACGGAAATCTTCAAAATGAATTAATTATATGATTAATTGTAAAGAAGGTTGTTAGCAAGGTTTGCTTTTTTTTTCTAATTATATCATGAAAAATAAAATTGTTTATTTATATAGTTGATTAGTTGACAAGTTTATGATAAGCCATCTTTATTGTGGATAGAAAGAATCAAGAAATATTCTTCGACGAAACTATTTTTAATCTGGTAAGGTTATTGAGAGCTTTTTGATATATAATATCTAGAAAATAATGGTCTGGATAAAGTATGTCATTTTTTAAAAATAGTTTCAATGTATTTCGATTCATCACGTTCTGCTGTACTCTAAATCGAATACAAGGAGCCGAACTAGCTTTCGCTCACATCTAACGACTGTCAAATACGTCTAATCCCGTGACGTCGTATTTTCGCGCTATGGCTAATCGGAGAGGAAGAGCGCGGAGTGGAAATAAAGATCGTTGAACACCGAGAATAGATCTTACTGCATGCCCGAGCGGTTGCTAGAAGGCGGAGGTCTTGTCGTCCAGGAAATCTTTGCGCTCGACGAAAAAAGAATCGGAGCTATTCGTAACTATCGACCGTGCAAACTATTGTATGTCACTTTCGTTACTTACATCTTAACAGCTACGATATGGTTGGGATGTTGATAGGTTCATTAAAGTATACCAAGAAGTATTTTTTATAGCGATAGTAAAAATCATTTGAGTGTATTTGTTCGCTTTTGTATTCGTGATAAAAAATTAAGCTTTCTCAATTAGGTCAATCTTATAATTATTGATAGAATCTTTCTGATGAGTATAAACATTTATTCTTCTGTTTCAACTTTCGATTTTTAAGTTTCTTCGACATTTTACAAATGTCCTAAGTTTTTATAGAAAGTTCCCATAGAATCAGTCGTTATATTAGTTTGTAAGAGAGAGAGAGAGAGAGAGAGAGAGAGAGAGAGAGAGAGAGAGAGAGAAAGAGAGAGAAAGAGAGAGAGGTTATTACTCCCAGCTGGGTCGGGCCTTCTATTTCGAGCACGAGGCAGCTCGCCAAACTTATGTTAATTATAAGAATTATTGTTATCCCCACAGGCTATACGGAAAAAGTCTTATGCTCTTTTACTTGCCGTTTGTATGGATAATAGTTCATTTCTTTTCTTTTTATGCAATTTAAAGATAATTGCTCATAAGTGATATAGCAAAATGTTATTTATTATCTTCTGTAACAAATTAAAAATCTTTCTTCATAAAAGTTACGTAGCATGAGTATGAAGAAATGTCAAAATTATTTCATGCCATTCTATCCTTTTATCAAATATATTTTTTAACTCTAATATAGAATTTACTTACAAATATAATATAGAAATTATTTACAAATTCTTAAATTTCATTCTGTCAATCAAGATATTTCCGTACACGATTAATTTGCTATTATTATATAAAGAGTATAGGTTTAAAAACAAGAGTTGTAATTTTCTTCGATTATCATCAATATCCTGGAACGCCCCCACATATCATCGTGATCTCGTTGGTCGATTTAAATGGCAATCCCGTAGCAACTCGCGTGCGAGAGGGCGTGGAACGCTTGATATGCTTTATTACAAGTCCGATTTGCGATGAAGCTCGAGGTAACACGCTCGATTTGATTTTTCAGGGTGACACTAGCGCTTACAGGAGTAATAGAAGTGGACTTGGCGTTGGTACGGGTACTTTTAGTAGAAATGCATCGAGCGGAAGCACTTTAGCAACTTGCAGGACGACCTACACTGGTATAGCTTCCAATACTATTCGAGATAGTACAAAAGATGGAACAGTTTCTGGATATGGAAGCTCTTTCTTGAAGAAGGACAAAGGCGAGAAGAAAGGCACATTGAAATATTCGTGTGAGTAATGTAAAGTAAAGGTGGGCAACTTCTCTATGGCGGGCCGCACGGACCCTACCATTAATCAATCCGTCCCTCTACTACTTAAGTTCACTAACCACCACTTCAACCGACTATCTATAAATAGACAGAAACAAAAGTCATGTTGCTCATGAGGCACGGCGGTGTCAAATAGTTGGGTGGGGTTATCTTCTCCCACCTTACTGAAACAAACAAAGTAGGGGTGTGGATCTCATGTTCCACTTCTGACGAAAAGTACAAGATAATCGCTTTTCTTTCTACTTGTTATTTTTATATTATTTTATGTTACTTTTGTGATTTTATTTTTTCTTTTCTAATGATTTTATATGTCTTTTATTTGAAGCATAATTTAATTATTGCTAACTACAATCAATATAATTGAGAAGATATTCATCACGTGTTCGCAGGTAGCAAAGAGATAGAAAAGAATAGATTACATTTGGAAAAAGTAGAAGATATTAGATCAAAAAGTCCGTTATCTGATAGTAGATCACTACTCCTTGAAAAGTACTCCTATTCGAACAGTAAGAATGTCGAAAGGCCATGTTCCGTCTTGGATAAATACAATCGTAGATCTTCCCGAGAAAAGGGCAAAGAATCGGAAGGAATATCGCGATACAATTCCAGCACGTATCCTGGCTCTGGATTAAGTAGGAACTATAGTAATAGCAGTACGGAAGGAAGAGGCGATAGGAAGGAGAGAAGCGAGCATCCACCCGTTTCCTACAGAACTCTACGAACGAATTCAGGAAGAACGTCTCGAGAAACGAGTCCAGATGTTAGCGTTGGAAAAGGAAATTCTTTTCGAGTTTATTCAAGACCACCATCGTCTTATTCTCGTGCTGGATCCAGCGGGAGTAAGTGATTGATATATTCGACATAATTTTTCAGATCTATTTCTTTAAAGTTCAAGTCAAATCTACTTCAAAGATGGATATGAGAGTCTCAAGGAAAACTTCTGATTATTCGTCGTTTAATTACAAAAAAAAAAAAAAATAAGAAAAAAAATAAACATTTAATCACATTATTTTATTAATATTGTATTATATTATATTCGTAGGTACATCGACAGAATACAGTTCGACTCCGATCTCTTCGAAATTCAATTTGACGACGAGCTCTCGATTTTCGTTGCCTTCTAGAAGCAACGAACGAATACCGACAGCCATTAGCTACTCTGGATCGGACAGATATCGAACTTCCAGTAGCAATAGCAAAGAATTTTCTACTTCGGCGAAGGCAAAGGTTGAAGGGTGTTCGAAAGGAGATGTCAAATCCGAGGAAGATTTGCAGGATGAAACGTGTAGAAATTGGAAAGATTGTGAGACTGAGAACAGACTCGAAGAGTTGGAAAGTAGCTGCGTTGCGATGATAAGTAGAGGTACTTCGCCAACACCACCTGCTTCGTCAAGTTTCATACGAAACAGAAGAGCAGATATGGGAACGACCGTGCAAAAAGAAAGGACAAGATGTCGAAGGAAGGTTGAAAAGAAAAATCAAGAAGTTCAATGCGATCGTAACGAAGAAGCACCGAGATTTTCAAGGTTTGGTGGAAGTGGCAGAGTTCCAGGAGCTGGTTGGTCATCTTATCTTGACAAATTTTCATCGACAACTTCGACGTCGTCTGGAAACACCACGGTTTACTCTTCGAGAAATTTCAACGCGGCAACTGCCAGCAGTGGTGCTTCGGGAAACTGCAAGAGGATCGGCGGCTTTGCATTCTCGAGAGCTAACGAGAATTCCACGACTTCCCGAAACGATCAAGCTTCCAAAGTATCTTCGACGTGTAGTCAAGAACTTGATAATAATCACCATAATAGAGAACAGAATAGAGAAGCCGTTACGAAGCAAGATGTACTCGCTTTCTCGAGAAACAACAATGAAACTTCTTTACAAACTGTTAATGTCGAAACCATTTCGAGGGTATCGCCAAGCTTCAACGAGGAGGTTGATATTGTTATTAAAGATCAGAAGGATGAAAATAAATGTGTCGATAGAGATCAAATTGGCGAGAGGAAGGAGGAGGCGAAGGCCGATCGTCTGCCGAGTCCAAGAACGACGTTCCATTCCATCGATGTTACTGATAATTCGCGAGTCAAGCGTTCTCCTGATTATTCGAAGAATAGTAGAACTAGTAGTACGTCTAAGAGCGAGGAGATCGAAGAAAAAAGTCCATCTTTGCAACGGTTAAATGGAGCCTTTCACAAAAGCGACAGAAAACTTTCGAGGACACCTTCGAAGACGGAATGTTCGAAACCCATCCAAGCTGTTCCACGAGAAAGAAGAGATTCCACTCCTAAATCAGAAAATAGTCTATCCTTGAGAAATACGGATTCTTCGAAGCTGTTCGATGCTCATCCTCAGGAACAGAAGCATGAGACCCAGCAGTCTAAGAAGGAATCTCTTTCAAGGTACTTATCGACTTGGAAGAAAAGTCAAACCTTTTTTCTCATTTTTAGATACCTTTATCCCTTAAAGTCCACGTATTTTTTAAATAAATAAATAAATAAATAAAAAATATATAAATAATAAGGATATATCCTTAAGAAAAATTTTCTTAATTTTTATTTCAACATCCAGAATAAAATCAATTTAATAGTCATCTTATATATTACACACTTTCGATCGATAGCTCCTCTCAAAGCCGCTCCACGACGCCACAGTCTCATAGTGGTTCGACGAAAAGCGTGCCTCGACAGATGAGGCGAGCAGACTTTTCTGAAGGATCAGCCGTGAGTTTGCCAACTGGCAGATCTAAGTCATCGTCGGCCGGCTCGATGACGAGTCAGGGATCAAAAATAAAGACACCAACGCCATCATCATCTTCCAGCTCTCGATCGCAGTCGCAGTCCGTCGCCAAATTATCTACTGCTGGCGGATGTTCCGGCACATCGTCAGTGAACTCACGACGAGGGAGTTCTCCGGACGCACGAGGGAAACCACCTGTGCCAAAGAATGAAAGTAGCGAACGTGTTGGTTCTAAAAGTGTCATAACTGGTAAATACATTAACAAGGATTTCAGGAAGTCGAGCTTGAACATGGAGAATGGTGATCCTTCACGTTCCAAATACGAGAGAATGAAAAAGCAAAGAAGTATGTCTATTAGTTCACAAGATTCTGAATCAAATTTGGAGGGAATTCGACAATTGATGGCACCTTTGTCTTCATCGGTATCTCTGAAATCGATGGGATCGAAAACAAAAATACCTTCGAGCGGATCGAAAACATCCTCATCGTCTTCATCTTCCTCGTCGTCTTCACTTCGAAGAAACGACTCGAGCAACTCGCCTAAGCACGAGACATCGAGAAACGATACGAAATTAGTCTCCTCTTTGTCCGGCGAGAGGAATCTTCCGAGATCGGAAAAATCTGAATCAACCGACAGCAGTGATTCCAATTCTTCGAGTTCTTCGAGTAGCGAAGAAGATACGGAGGATCGACAACAAATTGTTGCTGGTAGGCGATGGATAGGACGAAAAGATTCGAAATGGCTGATTTGCGAGAAGAAAGTTGAAAAGATGAGTGCTGGATCATCGAGGACGAGCGTACCAGCATCCTCGGCTGACGAAAACTCTCTAAGTGTAGAGAAACCACCCAGACCACCGTCCAGTCCAAGATCAAGTCCCAGATCCAGTCCTAGGCCTAGTTCAAGATCGAGTCCTAGATCAAAAAGCGATCGTTCGGGAAAAACAGACGAAGCGAAATCCTTCCTGATGAGAGCTTTGGCGCCAGTGACGAATCTCTTTAAAAGCAAACATCACGATTCCACTTGTGAATCCGTAAAGTCAGGTGGTTGGCCCAATTCCAACGAAGAGAATCCCGATATGACGAAAAAGTCTACGTCCTTCTCAAAATCCGTTACGCAAGGTTCATCGAAATCTCTTAGTTTCTCACACTCTGAGAGGATTTCCGATAAGGATCGCGATTCTAAGACTAGAATCGAACGTCAATTGTCTGGTGAAAGACCTTGGTGGTTGGATCCAAATTCTGATAATGCGCCCGAGGGTGTTGAAAGGTTCAACGGATATAACGACGATATTAGCCAGGAAACTACTATCAGCACAGTTCTACCTGACGATGGTAAGTTTACAAATTAATATCTCGTTCAAAGGAATTAACGTCGAGAAACAAATATTTCTAATTTTAGGAAAATTCAAGCCAAGAGTATGGCATCAGGAGTCTGGAGAAAGAGCTTGGTGGTTAGAAGAGAACGATACTACTTCTGAAAATGGAAAAAAAGAAACGAGCCTGTCATCCAATCGGTCGAAAAAAAGTTCGAGTCGTAATAACAGTAAATCGAAAGATCGTCCAAGGTGCATCGGACATCAACGATCTGGTGAGAGAGCCTGGTGGATGAGCGACGATCCAGAAAGTGTCCCGGAGGGTATTGAAGTGATCGTCGTGCCATCTACCTGTGAAGCTAGTAGTCTTGAGAAGTTCGAGGTTGATCGTAAGAGTTCAAAGAAAATCAAACACATCGAGTCTGGTGAAAGAGCTTGGTGGATGGACAGCAGCTCAAACGTTCCCGAAGGAGTCATCAAGATCCCGGTTGAAACTTCCAACGGTACTTCGGACTCTTCCGAGTCTTTCGAAAGAATAGACATCGGTGTTGACCCCGAGCCTGAAACATACACCCGGAGAAGCCTCTCTAAATTCCCTATCGAGTTTCCACCGCCACCGAGCTACGAACCGTTGGGAGATCGAGCTAGTCCCGAAGGGGTAAGACGATCCCGTTTCATTCTTCTCTCTTTCTCTCGAGGCATTTAACTATGGTTTTAGTCGACTTTTCGTAGAGAGAAAATGATACCATATTTTTTGAAAAATAAACATGAGACAAAGTTTTTGAAAAGTAAACACGAGAGGATAATTTTCTCTTATAGATCATCGATCGATAAATCATTAACAAATTAAATATAAACATTTTTGAAATACATCCTTTTATTTAAATATATTAATACTACTGCACTTTTGAAAATAGAATATAAATGTCAATCAAAAGAAAATAGAGTTTAATGAAAAGAAAAGCTTGACTAAGAAATAGAAAGAAAATGAGACTATTTTATCATGCTCATGATTAGGGCGATGATAGGCCAGGATATTTCTACTATCTTTTAGCGATCTCTGGAAATTCGATTTACAGATAGAGAATCCACCAGCTCCACCGGATAACTATCACGGAAGGATTTCACCTTACGACAATGTTCGATCACCTTCTCGTAGATCGTCGTCTAGGAAACATTTCTTCATTGGAGAGTACATGAACATCGATGATCTTTTAGATACAACGACGACGACGACGAATCAACGAAATAGTCCAGTTTCGTGTCGTTCTCGTAGACAGGATAGACTCGAAGAGGGTAAGTTGAGAAGGGGTTTCAGAAGAAAAGAGTTTATAAGGATTAAGTCGCTCCACCGAATACGATCGACCCTAATATTTTGCAATCGGATCAATTTCTAACTCGATCGATAAGAGAGAAGAATCACCATGTAAAACGAGGGAGAAAATCGACGTAGTCGTTTCTTCTCTGGCTCGTTTATTTTCCCACGTACAAAACCGCTGAAGCGAATGGCCAGTCGATTGCCAGCTGTTCACTTTATTGATCTTATATTCCCTTTCATTTTGTCAGAGTGATTGAAAAATGTTCTTGAAAATGTTTCGACGTTCTTTCTCTCCAATTCTTTCTTTTCAGTTTGAAAATGTAGACGTACGAAAAAAAATGAATTTTCTGAATATATCGGGATTCTGGATGAATCAGGATCTTCATATATCGCATGTGGTACTTTAACCAACTAATTGTAAGCTACTCAAGAATCCAAATTTCCATATTTTCGTGGTCTTTTAGAATGTCTACAATCACGTCAATCCTGATACTTGAGCTGTTCACAATTTTTACAACAGACAAACATATAAATTCAATACTAATGGGCTAGATGGCGTTTATACTTCACTTTTGAAATTGTCGATATATGAAAAAAAAAAAAAATGAATTTTGTTGATAGGTCGGGATTCGAATCCCAAGTGTTAGCATGTCGTGTGGGTTGCTTTAACCAACTTTTCTTTCTTCTTTTTAAACATCTTTATATCTGCATATAAAATACAAAAGAGATACATGAGATTTAGTGAAATGTATAAAAGGAATAATAGTATGTATCATGCAGAGTTTTATTACAATCTAATGGATTAGGTGTTCACAGGATAATACTATCTTGGTTCTAAAGTTGCACTTAATGTTACCGTTTTATAAAGTTGAAATTTGAACCGTCTAGACATTTACAATCTTATGTATATAGAAAAAGGTAGAAATTAATTTCTTTCTTTTAATATAATCAGTTTCTAATTTTTGAAATATTATAGAGATAATATAGATTTAGAGATTTAAATTCGATGTATACAATTTTTTGTTGCATAACATATTCCATGAAATTTTTACATTAGATATGATATGAATTCCTTCTTCATTAATTTAAAGAAAGTTCATCTATCCAGATTTTATTGAAAACTTTCCTAATATCTATAAAATATGCTCCTATATAGTTATTTGCGTACCTAGCCTTACATTATGTCCGAAATAAATTTCGTTAACGCATGGATGGTCAAATGTTTGTGAAATCAAATTGGATCTCTGTATATTATGTAATAGGTATCACAGTGATGTATTATTACATTGTTGATTGTGGTTTCCAATATCTTACTTATGCTAGGTAGGAAATTTATCGGTTTATCCTGGATGGTTATTAGTTTCGTGGTTTTCCAAACTTCGAGGAAGTACGTTAAGTTTAAGTAATTAAAATTAAATATTATCGTGTAGTAGTAGATGTATAGATTTGGTAAATATTTTAAAGCTATATTTAATGTTTCATTAAAACCGGAAGATTTTTTGTTGTTCAATTTTTAAAATATGTTTCTTAGCTTATAATAAGATGTGAAATAATTCGACGGACCTGTATTTTCATTAAGGCTAACAATTGTATTCTTACGATTAAAAACGTTTACAGTTTTGTCGTTTTGTAAGTCTTGTATAATTTTTTCGGATAGATCGACTATTTTGTGTTTGATGATGTTTATTTGATGTTTTTTATGTCTAAATCTACTCTTTGAAAAATGCTCTAGTTATTTTTTAGAATTATAATATCCTATGGTTTATCCAATTAAGTTATTTAAGAATATATAAAGTAGTTACAAAAAATATCTATTCTTAAGACATCAGCGTATCTCGTTTTGTATGATCTAACAATGATATTTTTACAGAATCCACCGAGGATACTTCCGAATGTGAAGAAATAGATGCAACGCAAGTGATCATTCACGATAGCACACCGAAAACTCCAGTGATACAGCGAAGAAATAGGTAGGATTTAGGATAAATATTTATCATAAATATCTGTATCATCATTTATATATTAGAAATTTTAAATTTCTTCATTTTTATCATTGTTTTTTTCAGAGAACAGGAGCCCTTTCAAGATAGGACACAACCGGACGGATACATACCGGTGAGTCACATAATATTGAATTATTATTCGATAAAATATAAACAATTTGCGTTTTTAACATTCTCGATATAATATGTCTTAAGAAACGTACTTAGGAATATCGCTTCTTCATCATTTTTCTTTTTCTCGTTGTCTGGTACCTAGTTACGTTTGTCTGGCATTCAGCATTGAAGTGCTTTCTGTTGTAGAATCGCACTAGAAGAGTATTGTAGGTGACTGTAGATTGGTATATACGTGCTCGTACGTATGTACTCGAAAAAATCTTGCAAACAAAAGCAAGAGTAGAGAAAGAGATGGGGTGAAAGAAGAAAGAAAAAGAAGGAAAGAGATTGAGAAGGAGAAAGAGAAAGAAAAGAGGATAGTGCTTCCACGACATTATTGTTTTTCGCGAGGGATGCGCGAAAGAGACTCTTCTTCTTTCGCCTCAGACTCCTCTTTCTTTTCGTTATACGCGTAAAGTACTAGCGACAAAGAAGACGAAACGGGTTGACGGGAAGAATAGGGAGGATTCCCTTGAGTCACCTCGAGTAGCCGTCTCGATTAAAGAGTCTGCGACGTACTACACAAACTCGATGTCATTGCGTTGTCATGTTCAAAACGACGATGACAAGGGAGAAAGAAAAGTTTAGTGAGACCACGAACACGTAAAAGCGGTATCCCAGTCATGTTTTCCAATCGATATCGTATAGGTTTCAATGCGATTCGATGAAAGTATCCCTCCGTTGAAAAGAAAAAAAAGAGAAAGGGAAAATCGAAAGATAGAGAGAGATAGATAGATAAAGAAAGAGAGAGAG